CGGGGTGGGAGGGCAGGGGCGGGGGGGGCCCGCGGCCCAGCGCGTGGCTGAGGTGGGCGATGTAGCTGGTGGCCAGGACGAGGACATCCAGCTTGGAGAGCTTGGTGCCGGGGGGCACGGCGGGCAGGGCTGCCTGCAGCAACAGGAAAGCCCTGCGCAGCGCTCGCACCCGGCTCCGTTCCCGCGCTGCGTTCTGCGGGCACGGCAGCCCCGGGGGGGCCTGTGGCGAGAGGGCGTCTGAGCCGGCCCAGGGCCTGCAGCCGAGGCTGGGGCAGGCACCGTCACCCGCAATGGGACGGGGACAGCAGCCATCCACGATGCCACCTCTCCCCTGGGGAGCCGGGTGGCCCCAGCCCCTGGACCTGTGGGGTGTCCATGCCCCCGGGGCTGCGTCCCACCCACCCGCATGCCATGGGGCAGCCCGTGACCCCTGCCCGCACCCCACCGGCAGTCCTGCCCGCGACCTGCTCCCCCTCCCCGGCAGTCCCCTGCGGCCCCCTGCACCATCCGGCTCCGGTGCAGCAGGGCAAGGGGTGCAGGTGCGACCCCGAGGCTCCCTGCTGCCACCGCATGTGGGGTCCCGCTCTCATGCTCAGCCGGCTCCTTACCCGTCCTGCTGCTGGGGGGCTCCCCAGGTCACCAGGGTGGGCAGACGAGAGCCCCGGGCTCCTGCCTGCGCCCACTCCCCGGCATGCCAGCCCCGCTCCGCACCCCCCGCCGGCGCCTGCCCCCGCGCTCTCGGCCATGCTGGGCCCCACCAGGCAGCCCCTGCCCACGCTCCTGCCTGCACCTCGGCCCCGCGAAGCGCCGGTGGGTCAAGGTGCCCCGGGGAGCGCCGTTGCGTCCCCCCGCCGCCTCCCGGCACAGCGCAGCCCGCAGCCTCGTCTGGACGGGCGTCTCGCCTCCCCCTCCTTGGCACCGTGGGATGAGCGGGAGGATACAGGCTGTCCCAGCCGGAGCCTCCCCCGGCCTGCAGCCGCCCACGGGAGCCCCGAGAGCCCCACAGCCCAGCCCCAGCGCCACCGGAGCCACCAAGCTGCAGGCAGGGCACCGAGCTGCAGGCAGGACACTGAGCCACGGGCAGGGCACTGTGCCAGGGGCAGGGCACCATGCCACAGGCAGGACACCCACACAAGGTCACACCTCGCCCTGGCCCCACGCGCAGCCTGTGCTCTCGAGGCCCGTGGGACAGCAGCCCGCTGCCGGCACGGGGGGCAGGCAGCTGCCTGCACCCACGGGCCCACCCCGCAGGGGGGTCCCTGCACCCCCTGCCGCCTGGCTCGGCCCGCACGGGGCCCCCGGGGCGGCGCCGTCCC